ACAGAATTTAAATTTGAAAACTGGAGGACTCATGAAACTTTACGTCCTTATATGCAAATGACACACAGGTGACATTATCACACATGCCTGATGAAGGTTATAGGAAAAATTCTTAGTGGGCTTAACTTGTGGGACATGGTGGTTTCAGCATATTGTTCGTGAGGAAGAAGTGTGGCTTGTTTGTAGGGTGTGCAGGGACGTGACATGCATTTAAATAAGCGATTTTTAACTAGCTAAAATGTTCTAGGAGGAGGCGTATTTGAGTAGACTTTAAACAGCATTATAGATCATAAGGCAAATCAAAGACATTTATTTTGTGTGCTTGATTTATTCCTGGCTTACAGGGCAATTTCTATTATGTGAAAACTAGTTTAAGAACCTTCAAATGTTAATTGTGGAAGACTTTTCTTAAAGACTCAGAAAAGCAAGCAACTTATAAGTGAGTTCAAGAAAAGTGAACATCTGGAGGGGTAGCGTGTGGGAAAGTCATCTTTGTTGCCGTTTTGACTTTGTCTCAGTGGGTGAGATTGGTAATGAAGGGAAAGTGCTGGCATAACAGGATAGACCTACAAAACCTAATGACTAGAAAGCACTTGCGATTTCACTGTAGGCAGTTTTCCTTCCCTGTCCTTAGAAAAAGGAGGAATGACAATGAGAGCAATTCTAGTCATGAGCTAATGGAAGAAAGCTCTCCAAGTGATCTGTTGTTCCCCTCTGAACAGGAGATAACACTGTTTCTGATTTGGCATAAAACGAAGGGACTAAATGGACCAAAGCTGGAGAAATGCCACGCTTGTTTGTGGGTACTCATGTCAGGGCTGGAACAGCAGAGCCTCTGGCTTTCTTCCACACACCCCGGAAGAGGGACAGCAGCCTCAGGGACCCATCTGCCTCAGGGACCCACAGGGCAGTGTTCAACTTGAGTCTTCCAGAAGGAAGGGGACAATATGTGGGGCTGCCACACTGGCTTCTGCCATTTGTGTGGGCCTGTAGGCCATCCTCATGCTGGATTATACCCTCATGAGGTCAGCACAGCCACCTCCACACCGAGCCATTTTCTCAAGGCCCCGTGCTGGTGAGGCAGAGCCATACCAGGTAGCCAGCTTGTTACTGGCGGTTCCTACACACGCTGAATGAGCGGACACAGTGAAGCAGGTAGGTGTGAACGGTGGAGCGTGATTTCCATCACCAGCTCGAAGCTTTGTCTGCTGGACATAATTCCTGCATTCACCTGGTGAACAGGGCAATAGATTCACCATACTAAGTCTGAACTTTGCTATAATTTTAGTGGTGAGAGGGGTAATGTTTAGGAATAAGAAAACCCACTGTAGAGCCGTCTTTCAAATATATAGCGATAGGAATCAGTTCAGGACAGATAAATGACAGGAGTGAAGAATTCCCATAGACTAATTTGGACAGCATGAGTTAGGGGGGTGCAGGGAAAGAAAAATGAAATGGCAACAAATGAAAGAAGCCATTTTCTCTGTCATCACCAGTGCTTTTCCTTCTATGACAATTTTCATAAGTGACTAACAGTTTTTTTTTTTTTTAGAGACAGGGAGTCTTGCTATGTTGCCCAGGCTGGCCTTGAACTTGTAGGCTCAAGTGATCCTCCGGCCTCAGCCTCCCGAGTAGCTGGGACTAACTCCAGGCCCATAGTACCATTCCCAGCTTTAAAAGGTGCTTTTGCTGCATTCCCCATGATTTTCTTTCAGACCCCCCTGGGTTCTTCATTTGTAACAATGATAAGAGCTACAGTTAAATAAGGCTTTAGTACTTAAATTACTTCAAATACATAACCTGATTTGATTGCTCGAGAGGTAGGTAAGGCAGATGGTAAGACAGATACCAGAAACCCACACTTTATAAAAATTTTTTTTTTTTTTTTTTTTTTTTTGAGACAGAGTGTCTCTGTCGCCCAAGCTGGAGTACAGCAGTGTGATCTCGGCTCACTGTAATCTCTGCCTCCCAGGTTCAAGCAATTCTCCTGCCTCAGTCTCCTGAGTAGCTGGGATTACAGGTGTGCACCACCACACCTGGCTAATTTTTGTATTTTTAGTAGAGATGGGGTTTCGGTGTGTTGGTCAGGCTGGTCTCGAACTCTTGACCTCAGGTGATCCACTCACCTTGGCTTCCCAAAGTGCTGGGATTACAGGCATGAGCCACTGCACCCGACCTGAAATTCCATCTTCTGGTAACATGTCAGGCATTAATTAAAAATATCCTTTGATGAGTGTTCACATGATCAAATGGAATTATTATTCTCTCCCTGCAGTACCAGTGGTGAGGGGACTCTCAGGTGTTATCCTATAAGGTCCAGAACATGTTAACCGATGTTTTGTGTTTTGCTTTTTTTAACCATGGAGAATGGGGAATTGGGAATTGGATGGACATTGAAAACAGACTTCTCTCCCAGAAAAACTATATGATTCTGGTTATACATCTTAATATTTCTGCATGTCAATTTCCCATGGAAATCGGGCTCATCACAGGAGCCAGCTGTCATCACTTCTATTGCCTTATAAAGCAGAAACAGCTTCTCTGCCATACTTGACAGTGGTGTAGGAGGTTGCTATCATGTGTTTAGGAAAATACAGTGATAAGAAACTTAAACTTTGTTTCTTCTGGGAAAGTGAAGGAAGGGTAGAGTGAAGCCCATTTCTACCCAAAGTCTAAGCTTACCAGCAGGTGGTGCTATGACAAAAGCAATCAAGAGAAACCAAGGCAGGCCGGTGGGGTTTCTGGGCCCCAGAGATTAGCCCTGCTACCTCTCATCAAAGCTAGTATTTGGGAGTGGGAGCGAAGGGCAGGAAGCTTGAGGCAGCACAGGACAGACGGCACACAGTACATCCAACACCCGTTTCTAGGGTCCTCAATCCGGGGCTCTTCTAGCAAGGCTCACCAGAGCTCTCTGCTTCTGCTTTCGTTTCTTCATCTCTCCCCGCAAACCCCTTTCCCATTATCTGGAATTCCCAGCAGGAAGCAGAGAATAGAGCGGGCAGGGATGCCCTTCTCCCTAGTACTTACCCGGCAGACACTGTGGCTTCAGGGGTCCTCAGATATTAAGCACTTGGACACTCAGAAAGCACTTTGAGTTGCATAAGCTGCTCTGCATATGCTATTAGATGCTATCTTGATAAACAGAAATGCAGAGAAACTCCTCAGAAATAACGGAGGCGGCAAGAGCTTGGAGACCTATCAGTAAGTGTGCCACTTTGCTCACTCAACATGTGCATGACTGATTTACCTTTTCATCTAAATGCCCTACTTACCCCAAGCCTCCAAAGGGCAGAGTCTCGCTCTGTGTCTCCAAGGTGCCTTACATGTAGTGTGTTGCACAACGGGACCAAGAGAAACAAACCCAGCAGCAAGCACAGCTGAACTGGAGGACTCAGGAAAAAGGCAATTCCAAGTCTTGAACCGCCTTCTCCTGCATCAGACAATAAAGTTAGGAAATGAGGTGTCCCCGTGTCAGAGCTTGTGGGTCCCAGTGGCTGCCCCCGGCACAGAGTTGTTGCGGGGCTGATTTTAGGATCCGGAAGTGAATGCTGCCTCTGTGGACCATGCTCGGCTGGTTCTGACCACGCTGGAAGTGAGCTGCAGTGGAAGAGATCCACACACACGGCTTGCGTCTGCTCTACCCACAGGGACAAGTGAACCCTGCCCAGAGGGGGATTTAAGAACTGAGAAAGTCAGAGACCCAGCCCAGACCCACAGGAACTAAGATGTTGGTGTGAAAGCTTGGAGTTGTTCACATCTGCTTCAACCCAGTGGGGCAGCCTGAGGGAGAAAGCAAGGGGCTGGCGAGTGGAATGGGGCAGGGGTCCCAAGGCGGTTTAACTTCCAGCCTCAGGCAGAGTGCTCTGCCTGTACTGGGGAGTCAGCCCCCTTGGTCCCTGGGTTCCTGGCTGGGCTGAGATGAGGCAATTCTCTTCCATGGCCTTAGTGGTTTCCAAAGAGCAAGTAGCATGATGTGGAAACGAAGTGTGGCCATTAGGAATGTAAAGCCCACCCAGCAGCCTCCTAAAGGGGATGCAGAGCCCACCACTGAGTCTACTGGTTAAGAAATACGAAGTATCCTGTCACTGAACTAGCCAGGTCACACCCAAGGGCAGACCTGAAGAAGGAAGCCAGGTTACAAAGGAAGGTGGTTCATGTATCTTCCACACATGGACCACAAGTGTGGGGTGGGGGCGAGGCGAGGAGAGGTCCACGGTCTGCAAATGCAGTTGAGCAGCAGCTGGGAAAACACTTCCGCACCTACGTGATTCCTGCAGGTGCTGGGGGGCAAGCCAACGGCTCTGGATTGACCCTGTTCAAGTAAGAGGCAGGTAAACCTGCTTCTGTGAGCTACAGGCCCCTGGGAAAACTGAAAACAGACTTGGCTTCATGGGAGAAGTTTCCCAGAGATCTCCTCTCTCTACGCAACCTGTCTATTCCCCTTCTCATGTCTTCCCTAAGAAGTACCCGAGCATCTTACCCAAACGTGTTACCCTACTAAGAAATAGAAAAGCTGTAAGATCAGACCTGGCATGGTGGCTCACGCCTGTAATCCCCACATTTTGGGAGGCTGAGGTGGGCAGATCACTTGAGGTTAGGAGTATGAGACCAGCCTGGCCAGCATGATGAAATCCCATCTTTACTAAAAATACAAAAATTAGCTGGTGTTGGGTGCCTATAATCCCAGCTATTCTGGAGGCTGAGGCAGGAGAATCACGTGAATCCAGGAGGAGGAGGATGCAGTGGGCAGAGATCACACCACCACATTCCAGCCTGGGCCTCTGTGGCTGGAGTGTGGTTAAGAGACAGAGGGAGACTCCATTTCAAAAAAAGAAAAACCTGTAAGATCAGCTAATTATATTGCTTGCTATTCAGTTAATTTCACCTTTCTTTCAATGTAGGTTTACTGGATGTTTTTCTCTTAAAAAAAAATATAACCCCAATATTCCATCCCTTTCCAAACCCAAGCTGGTGTGACTGTCTTCAAGACACATCTGGCTAGCTTTGCACAGCAGCAGTACCGTAGTCAACGAGGTTTACCCGAGGCATGATTATTGCTAATTGAAAACTTTTCCGAATACCCCACTGTGACGACTTGCAATATAGTTGGCACTGGCAATTTTTGACAGTCTCTATGGAGACTGATTTAAAATAAATAAAAAAATAATAATAAACACATCTGGCTACTGAGACAAAAGCAGACAGGTCCAATAATTGTAAATCTCATATTTATTATAACAAAAATTATGACATGTCCATTTGTGCATTCTGCTTGAGTATAACTCTGGTATGTAAATAGCCTAATGGAGCACTATACAGCCATGCTGATTGTGGCAGCAGTAAGGAACACAGCTAAAAAGTGTCTGTCAAAGTGGAGAGGCTGGGATAGGGAGGAAAATGGGTTCAAGGCCCTTGGGTGTAGGTTCTTGTCCAGTGGCCTAAGATCCACTTACCCTAGACAGAAACGCTGCAGCTGCTCAGCCTCCTCATTCAGTGAAGTGAGGGTGAGTTGTGAGGCAGGCAGGTTCCTGGGGTGGGATGGGGGAGGAGAAACATCAGTTACTTGGGCTGTGTCCTTACGTCAAGACTACAAAACATTGTAAGCCTCACTATACAACACTGAGCTATTTACAATAGAAATTCTCAATCAGCTGTTCTCTCAGAGAAAATTAGTGAATCCCAGTGACTTAAGTCACCTGACAGAGTAAAGCAACTCCTAGGAGTTAGTCTCCATATTCTACAAATGTCTATTATTTTCAAGACAAAAAAAAAAAAAAAAAAAAAAGCCTTTCCCCCCCAAAGAAATACAGAATTACAATATTAAATCATTTAGCAATGGCAGCCTGTCCTGCCTTCCAAACAAAACAAAAAGCCATTTTTAAAAATATTACATTATCATTAACTGTTCTCTGTAATATATTAAACCTTCTGTTCTTTGTCTTTACATATCTGATATGTTAGGGGGAGAAGTTAACAAATGTAAATCGTATTGGTAAAGCATCACTAGAAGTGGTGATTATTTAAAAAAAATAACCCAAAGAAAGAGAACCTACAGATTAGCTGCAATGACAGGTTGGGAACAGTGTCTGGGGGAAGGACGTGGAGTAAAACCCCTGGTTTAATGTGAGCCTGGGAGACTCTCGTAACTCGTCTTTTGTGGTTAGTTTATTTGTTAAATAGCTCGGCTGGGTCATAGTGGCGTGTCGTAATAGTCTGGCAGCTGGTCCAGCTGGTAGTGCCGTGGCAGCTGTGGCTGCAGTGGCGGTGGCGGTGGCGGTGGCTGCTGCTGCTGCTCCTGGTGATGCTTCATGATTTCTTTGACCTCCTCTTCCAGCTCTGGGGGTATGATAAACTGATCATCGGGATCCGGCTGAGCTGGGGCAGCAAAATAGCCTCCCGGCTTTCGAAGAGGGGCGTCTGCAGCCACCTCTATCACATTGTGGCTCCTTTCCTGAGGCGCAACAGAGCCATTGGCCCTCCGACGCCCGATGGTCCCAACGGCAGAGAAGTCTGCCTTCTTGGGCAGACCCGGCTCATCCTCATTGGCGCTGATGACAATGCCCTCATCACTGGCCTCGGCTGGCACCTGAAGCAGGTGCTGCTTCTCCTTCTCCTTGGCCCGGCTGCAGTGAATGTCCACCTCCACCTCCACCCGGCTGCCGTTGGTGAAGACGCCCTCGATGGGCTCCTCATCGTCACTGTCAAGGCCGTTGTCGGAGAAGGCGCTAGAGAATGTAGCGCTGGACAGCTGGCGCTGGAAGGAGTTGGACAGACAGACAGGGTGGAGCATGCAGCGCTGCTCACTGGGGTAGGCGGGGCTGTTCTCGCTGAGGGCTCCGGGTGGGGGCTCGTCGGAGGCCGTGGACCCCACCTCGCTGCTCATCTCGGAAGTGGAGAGCTCACTACTGATCTCAGAAGCCATGCCGCTGCTGGAGGACGGCACACCCAGCCCGTCTGAGGGCCGATCCTTGATCACCATGTTCACCGAGGAAGGGAAGATGCCGGGGCTGGGTGGTGGCACGGCCCCACCGGCACTGAGCTCGCAGCAGCAGAAGCTGTCCTCGGTGACACTGAGCTGCACCACCACAGCGCTGATGCTGTCGTGGCAGCCGTAGCTCTGGGCCAGGGTGCACAGCTTCTTGGCAGCAGCCAGGGCGTCGGGCACATTGCGCACGGCCTCCACGGCCTCCTCGACAGATAGGCTGTCCCACAACCCTTTACTGCCTAGGATGAAGAACTCATCCTGGGGGGTCAGGAGCACGGACTGCACGTGGGGGCGAGGCACCACGCTGGGGTGGAGGAAGGTGTAGCCCAGGATTCGCGTGGACTCAGTCACTCCGTTCACCTTGCCATCCTGAAAGAACAAGGGTTTGCAGACAGACAGTTAATACGGAGCACCTGCAGCAACTGTGCATCTTCCCTGCAGGTCCCCGACTGTCAGACCACAGAGAAGTGCTGTGTGGTCTACAAAGGGAAGTGAGTAGTTAATGTGCACCTGTCATCTGAAACCCCAGGTAGCAGGCCTTGGCAGGTAAGGAGCAGTAGGGACAAAAGGAAAAGATTTCGGTTATGTGTTACTGGGACCCTGTTCCCATTAGGTCACAAGTCCCGCTGTTTCTCTACAGCAAGCCATCATCTAGCCTTACACAGCAAGCATGGCTGGCTAGCTCCTCCTGTAAACCCACAGGACTCTGAGATGGGAGAGCCTTTCTGATAGAAGACACACGAGGCCGGCATACATCAAGACCGTGCCCCTGAATCTTCCGTTGCTCTCCATGATCACAAGTGGCACTAGTGTCTGAAGGTCCAGAGAGGACTCAAAAGTACTTAAGGGGTGGAGAAAGCCTTGGTGTGACTAGGTGGGTAAGAATGCTCACGTCAGGAGAGCAGATGCTAAAGGAAATGCCAGTTCTTACAATTTCCTTGAACTTGATTTCCTGGTGGTCAATGGAGAAGGTAAGCTCTACTGGCTTTAGTTTAGCTGGGTGCATGTTATGAAATCAGTTACCAAAGCGCCAGACCTGGTTCCTCCTTCCCTTTTTTCCCTTTCCTCTCCTTTCCTTTGCTCTCCTTTCCTTCCCTTCTTTCCCTTTCCTCTCCTTTCCTTTGCTCTCCTTTCCTTCCCTTCTTTCCCTTTCCTCTCCTTCCCTTCTTTCCCTTCGTTCCCTTTCCTCTGCTTTTCACACTTTTAAGCAGGTAAGCATTCCCATTGGTAAAATTAGTAGTATGAGCTTCGAGGACAACTTTAGAAACTGCCTTGATTCTATGGACATAATCTGTCCCCAAAGCATGGAATTTAGCAGAAACTGTTCTTGCTGTTCTGCCCACGCCTTTAGATTTCTCTCCATCAAAACCGATATTTTGTGACTCATGACAGTGAAGCTTCCAACATGGGCTCCAGGAGTGCTGCTTGCATTCCCTAATTCAGCAAAGCGTCGGTCATCTGGCCTTTTCCTGAAGAAAATGACGTGGGCAGACAGCAGTGACCTGCAGATACACATTACCTTCAAGAAGTTTCTAGTCTTATATTGTTGATAAAACCCATAGAATCATGTGCAGTTTGACTCTGGTGAAAGTTTATAGTCAGTAGAGAAAAAAGACTGATTCCACACAGGCTCTGATGAGGGCCATAAGAAAGAAACAGACTCAAGCTATACATGGGATTCTGTGCAAGTGAGTGTGTGAATTTGTTCTCTGTCTGTTCTCAGAGCAGAAAGGATTAACATGGACAGTAGGCACTGTGTTAGGGAGCAGAAGACAATGCACTGAATTAAACTTCAGATCAACATTATGCCAAGCACAATTAAGGTAAATGATTTCTGTGACCTGAATGAATCATAGTTTGCACGTCAGACTTCTCCTGTTTTCTGTGCCTCTCCTGTTCCTCGCTTTTGTCTGCATTGCTTAACATTTAACAGTGAGGTTTTACTTCTCTACCTGAGACACACCCTCAAACACACACACACCCCCATCCGCTGTGGGGACTGCCCTACGGGGTGTTTAGCAGCAGCAGGTGCTCAGTGGCCTCTGTCCACGGCATGCCAAGTGCACTCTCCGCTCCAGCTGTGATGACCAAAAATGTCTCCCTATGTTGAAAAATGTCTTGTGGGGAAGCAAACTGCCCCCAGTTGAGAACTGCTCACTGTGTACTCAAATGGAACATGAGGTATGAACCAAAATAACAACTAGTTACATTCACAGTTTACAAGTCATAGCAGCCTTGTCAGACAGGATAGATAGACGAGGCTTAGAGAGGTTTAAAGGTCATAGCCTGCACATGGCAGAGCTAAGATATGAAAACGAGCAGGGTGATGTCGGGTAGAGCCCTCAACCACCGAAGCAGCCGTGGATGCACACTTTGCAGAGTGGCTGCACGGATGGAGTGGGGTCGTGTCCATGAAGCACAGTGCCTGACACAGGGAGGCAACTGAGAACCAGATGTCGTAATGTAAGCAATTCGCTTTGTGATACTATGGATTTGGAATTCTAATGTTGAACCTACTTCAAAAATGTTCTTTGAAGGCAAATGCTCCTTAGCTAGTTTCTGCTATGACCTGGTCTCCTCTCCTCTCCACCATCCTGGGAAGACCCCTCCCTCCTCACCTCAGTGATAATGGCCTTGTGCTGCTTAATCCTCTTCAGCTCTTCTTCACAGCTCATGATGTAAGATCTGGACAGGGGCAGTGGCTTTCCATTTCGACAGAGAACTGTTTGGCACTTGCCCACATTAGCAGAGGTCAAGGTGAAGGATCCTCCTGGGTCCACAGGGTCATGCTTGATATGACAAAGGACAGCAGCACCTCCGAGCTTCTGCCCAGCAGTTCCAAGTTTCCTGGAATCGGAAGAGAAGGGGTGACAAACACCGTCCATCAGTGCCAGTTCTGCCAATTCCACAGGAAGACTGCACCAGTGGACAGGGCCAGAAATGCGACAGCTGGAGAGTCCACTCCGCCTCCTTCCTCAAAGATCACACTGCTCAGCCTCTCTGAGGAAAAGAGCCCCTGAATCTGACATCACACACATCCCCACAGAGAGGCTCACAACTGGGAGACAGTGTCACTGTCCCAGTAAAAGCCACGGGTGCTGCTCTGGAAGGCAGGAGCCCCTGGACTGCTGTGTACAGCACGCTACCCTCATCAAC